CGTGGGCTCCGCGCGTGAGGACCTCGGGTCGGGATCCGCGGGGGTCAGGAGCGGGAGCTCCGGGCGGAGGCGCGGGCGGGCGGGCCGGCGCCCTGGGGACAAGCGCGGTTCCGGCGCAGCGCTGAACCCTGTGCCCCCCGGACGGGTCCGTGTGAGGCCTGCTCGGCCTCCTTTGCCTTCGCTTCTGTGTGGAGCCAGGGAGGCCGCGTCTGGAGTTTTCCCTCTGACTGTTGTTAAATATTCCCAAAGTTTAGTTTCGTGTCCTTTGGCCTTTGGCACTCTTATTCTAGTGTGATCCTGTGCAGTTTGCAGTTGCTTGGGGGAAGAGGTGAGTGGATTGTGAGATCAGTGCCAGAAACTGTAATAATTCCAAGCCAAATAGGAATTTCATTCTTTTAAGGACAGAGAACCTGAAACTGTGATATCTGTGTGTTTTAGTATGTTCTCACTTGCACTTTTCAAATTTTTAAAATAGCATTGAAAAAAAGCCCCCCCCCCCCTTTTTTTTGTCTTTCTGAGACAGGGTCTCGCTATGCAGTTCAGGCTGCCCTTGAGCTCACTTTGTAGCCCAGGCTGGTCTCGAACTCGCTAAGATCCTCCTGCCTCGGCCTCCCGAGTGCTGGGATTACAAGCGTGCGCCATCACACTCGGCTTTTTTAAAGCATTGTCTTGTGCTAGGCGACTCCTGTACCAACAAACTACATTCCAGCTATGAGCTCCTATTTTAAATAAAATGAAAGATATGAAAAGGAAACATGTGTGCCCCCAAATTTTGGTATATGAAATGTTTGATTTCGAAGCTTAGTGCTTGATATCTCTTCTGAGTAATATCCCACATTGTTAGGAAGGAAAAATAATGATGCCATTGGTGATTTTAGTGAAAATTTATTTTGTAGTTTGTATTATACTAATTTCTCTTAGTTTATTGAAAAGGAAGGTTTGTGGTAATACTGATCGGAGAATTTTTTATGCCCATATCTTGTACTCTGAGTAACTAAAGATAACAATAGGCAGTGTATTAACTATTGTTGTTCTATTATTTTGTTATGAAATTTTATTTTATTTTTTCCATAAAATAAGAAAACGTATTTGTGGTTTGTATAACTTATTGTTTTGAAGAGTATGCCTAAGAACAGTTTGCACAAAAAAATAATTTTTAAAAAGTAAGTTGATGAAAGAAAGATGTTATTGAAAGCAGAGTGTGGCTTTAAAACTTCTGGTAACGATAACAAACAATGCCAGAAAACTTCTTAAAAGTATACAAAAGAAGAAAATCTAAGGTCAGAAGATTCGTTGCCAACATATACTGTTCTACTGCGGGACTTCCGTTACATCCACTCCTAAATAACTGTTTTAGATAATTTCATGAGTCACTTGTTTTATTTCATCGTATAAGCACAAGCTAGGAGTCTAGTGTGGTAGACATCTGTAATCCTAGCACTGTGGCAAGCTGAGGGAGGAGGATTGCAAGTTTGACCTCAGCCTTTTCAACTTATGAACTTAATAAGTTTAAAATCAAAAGGTCAGGGATGTTGTCTAATGTCAATGTTCTGGGTTTTATTCTCAGTATCAGAAAAAAAAAGCAAGCAAGAGCTGGAAGTGTAGACCTTGCAATCAGTTGCACCTGCTCCACAACTCCCTATTTTGGCTCACTTTCTTATTACTAAGACACAGTATGCTATACCCATGTCTTCAAGAAAGAGAGGTTTAAATTTGCATATGATTTTCTAAGATTCAGTCTCTGATTGATTCCAGGAAGGAACATCATGGCAGAAAGGCATGCATAACAAAGCTAAGCTTAAGGCAGTCTTAAGTAAGCTAAGCTTACTTCATGGAGGCTGCAAAGCAGAGCAGGGGAACACTGTGGGAACACTGTGGAATAAGAAGGGGTAGGGACAAGACATTCCCCATTGTCACATTTCAGTGACATATCTAATACTCCTCCTGAGCCAGGTATAGTGATTAATACATATAGTATCATTTGAAGCAGAAGAATTTCCTTGAGTTAAAGGTCAGCCTCACTCTAACCCTAACTCAGACCTTATCTCAAAAATAACAAAGTTGGCATGCTTCCCCAACCATCAAACTCCCCTTCCCTTTTTGGTGCAAAGAGTGGACTCCAGGGCCTCTGTGTGCTAGTAATACAATTGAGATACACAAATAGACCCTTAATTTGTGTCCTGTCACCTTTTTCTTTGAGCTTCATCTCTCTAAGTGTCCCCTACCTAGTCTTACATCCTTGGAGACATATCGTCCTTCCTCTCCAACCTCCCACATACGTGGCACGACAGGCTTTTAGTATGACAGCTTACTCTTTACTTTTGTACCCTTAATTTATCTCCAGTAGACATCTACTCATAGGTAAGGCTTTTCAGAAATTGCTGGTTCTGGAGCGTGTGATGCTGAGATTAAGTACATGATGCCCTAGATCGAAGTTATGTGCTTACTAAGTTAGTCCCATTGGTTTGGCATAGTTCTGGGCAAGATTAAGAGTGTCCCACCCTAGGTGTGAGTGTCATTTGCCCTAGGTGCAGGTAACCTAGATAAAGTATAACGGACAGAAGCAGGGTTAGTGTGGTCCTTTGTAGCTTATTGCCATGCTGCCTTCCATCTTCTACCTGCCATGAACTGTTTCTCCTCTGCTATAACGGTCTGCCATGCCACCTTGCCTTGGAACTAGCCAACTGTGAACTGAAACCTCTATGAACTGTGAGCCAAATAAACCTTTCATCTTTTAGCTTTTGATTTTGGTTATTTTGACTCAGCAACAAGAAAAGTAACTAACATAGTTTCTAAGTGATAGAATACTTGGAAGACAGTGTGTATTTGATCTCTAGTACCATAAATAGTCAATCAATCAGTCAATCAATGCCTGTCCAGGAGACTGACCTCCAGGGATTCATATGCCAAACAGTGACACTATCAAGCTGCATCAAAAGTCACAGATAACTATTTTTATTCTCCTGGGTCTATTTCACTATGGTTTTCTAGGGACTTAACCCAGTACTACATGGTAAGTAAGCACTCTGTTAGTTGACTCCATCTCAAATCCTTAAGTTTATTGCCCTTGCTGACCTCAAACTTATAATTCTGCTGCACCATCTTCCCAACTAGCTGGAATTTTTGATGGGCACCACAGTACTCACATGTGAATACTTCTAATGCCATGTAATACCTCCCAAAACTCTAGTTCTAATTACCTATTTTACTTGCCGAGGCTGCCTTGCCTCTTGTAATTATCGATGGGAATAGTTTTCAGGATGTATTGATTCATTAAAACCAGATCTACATTTTGCTCTGTGTATCACAAAATATGAATTGATAGAGTGGACAATAAAGTACAAATGAGTTTGTCTCATAGGAACTAAGTTATATTGCTTTTGTTACTTTAAATATCATTTTTCTCTCATTTTGAAAGGTGAATTGAGCCTGGCATGGTGGCTGTAATCCATTTGTGAGGTCAGCCTTACTCTAACCGTACAGGCACACCTGTAATCCATTTGGGAGGCTGAGCAGGAGGATTGCTGTGAGTTCAAGGCCACTATGGGCTATGTAGTAAGTTTAAGGCTAGCCTGAACTACATACTGGGACCCTGTCTCAAAAAATCACACACACACACACACACACACACACACACACACACATACACACACACAAAGGTGAATAGGTACTTACTATTAAATGACAATATGACATATAGAGGTAAGAATATAAAAGTCATTTCTGTGTGTTCTTTACTACTAACTTTATGACAAAGTGAGATTTAATGTTCTGGTCATCCAATGTTTCAGTAATTGTTTGGAGACCATGTAGCTGTATCTGAACATCTTAGGGTTTGAGGGTATATCTCTAATACTGCCAGTCTTACCACCTTCTTCTGCCAATTTATGGGATGTCTTAGCACTCAGTGTCCTTTGAGGATGTGGCTGTGAAATTCACCTTTGAAGAGTGGGCTCTGCTGGATCCTTCACAGAAGAGACTCTACAGAGATGTGATGGGGGAAACCATCAGGAGCCTGGCCACTGTGGGTAAGGATGACGTCATTCCTTCATTTAAGTAATTAGAGATAAAGTTTCTTTTATGAAATTTGGAAAAATTATAACTTGAGAATTATAAAATGAGTAAGGTTGTTTATGCATCTGGAATTATATCTATCTATAACTTCTACCTTATGATTTTTGTGGATGTGACTTTTAGGGAACAAATGGAAAGAGCAGAACACACAAAATAAGGACAAAAAACAGGAGATTAATCCAAGGTGAGCTTCACTCATAACAGTATGTAACAACTGTCAAGAAAACTTTATAGATGATGACTTTTCAAAGACGAGCAAGTAAACTATAAGCACAGAGCTAATTGTCAGAAGATTTTCATGAAAAATATTTATGCATCAAGGCCATTTATGTTCAAAATACTTTTAAGAAGTCCTTGTTTTTGTTACTTCCTTGTTGCTGGGACAATATACCCAACACCCAGAAGTTAAAGAAGAGGTTTCTTTTAGCACACAGTTTGTAAAGGTTTCAGTCTGTAGTCAGCTGGCTCCAAGGCAGGGTGGCATGGCAGAGGGGCATCACCAGAGAAGCAGTCCATTCCAGTGCAGGCAAGAGGCAGCAAGCAACAGCATAAGCAAGCCTTTTTTGCTGAATCATCCCATTTTGAGTAGGCCTTCTTATTGTGCACACCAAGAACTATGCTAAACCAATCAGTGGACTACTTTAGTATCACAAAGACTTTATCCCAGTATCACACACCCTAGATGCAATTTGCTCCAAAAAACCTCACCTATGTGCACATGAAACTTTTAGGGGACATTTAGATACAAGCTGTAACAATCCTACATATAAATATATTCCTTTTGATACTAAGGATTTACTGTAGGAGCTTTCGCTGTGCTATTCTTCTAGTCCCACTCATTTTTTGTCTTTTGAGAAAGGTCTCCTTATTTAAGCAAGACCAGTTTTGAACTTGCTGTGTAATACAGGCAGCCCTGAAAGCTGTGAACTTCACTAGTGCTGAGATTCCAAGTGTGTAGTACCGTGCCCATTTATCTCGGTTTCTGTTTTAAAATTTGAGTTGGAGCCTTCTCAGCTAAATTTCCCAGGATGCCTTTGAAATTGAAACCCTCTTGCCTTAGGCTTTTCAGTAGCTAAGGTTATAATCATGGACCACTATGCCTACTAATCCTACTATTGTGATATTAGTGATGGTTAAGTACTTGTCTAGAATCTTCCATTAATTCATTTTGAAACAGTTCTGGGAGGCAAGAAAAACTATATTCCCTGAAAGTATTTAAAAAATAACTCTACTTCCTATTGAATATTTCAAATCATTAACAATGTGCTACTCATTCTTTACAGAAGTCACATGTTTGAAAAATTTTATGAGATCAGTGGTCATCAGTGTGGGAAAAACATCTTCTCAGTTTCAAATCTCAGTCTCACCAAGGAAACCCCTGCTTGTGTAACACCATGTAAAGGCAGTTTGTGTGGAAAACTCTTCATACATCCAGCATTCCATAGTGGGCAGCCAAGGTTTCTCATTAAGCATAGACCACATGAGATTGAGGAATATGGAGAGAAATCATACAAATGTAAGGTGTGTAATAAAGCATTCAGTCTTCACCAGTGGCTCCAGAAACATGAACAGTGTCATACTGATGGAATGCACTATGAATGTACACAATGTGGCAAAGCCTTCAGATTTCTCAGTTTCTTTCAGATACATGAAAGAAGTCATAGAGAGAAGTCTTATGAATATAAAGAATATGGTAAAGTGTCCTTTACTTCTGCAAGCTTGCAGGGACACAGGAATCTGCATTCCACAGAAAAACAGTATGAATGTAAAGAATGTGGAAAAGGATTTCTTTGTAATATAACACTTAAGATACACATGAAAGGACATACTGGGGGGACACAGTACCAGGGTAAAACCTGTGGAATACCTTATTTGTACTACTCAGCACTTAAACAACATGAAAGGAATCACACTGGAGAAGAACCCTGTGAATATAATCAGTGTGGTAAATCCTTCAGCATTTCCACACATTCACAATATAATGAAAAGATTCACAATGCACAAAAGGCTTACAAATGTGCAGTATGTGGCAAAGACTTTAAACACTGCAGTAGTTTTCAGCTACATAAGGAAATTCATACTGGAGTGAAACTTCACAAATGTCAGGAATGTGAGAATTCTTTTGTTTGTTTTCAAGACTTTGAATTACATATGAGAGTGCACAGTGGATATCGACTTTATACATGTAAGGAGTGTGGGAAAGCATTCAAGAGTTCAAATGGCTGTAGAGGACATGAAAGAACACATACTGGAGACAAGCCATATGAATGTAAACAATGTGGTAGGACATTTGCCTACTCTACTGCACTTCGAGTACATCAAAGAATTCACACTGGAGAGAAACCTTATGAATGTAAACAATGTGGTAGCACCTTTGCTTACTCCACTTCCCTTCAGGTGCATCAAAGAACTCACACTGGAGAGAAACCATATGAATGTAAACAATGTGGTAAGGCCTACTCTACTTGTAGTAGTCTCAGAGGACATGAAAGAACGCACACTGGAGACAAACCTTTTGAATGTAAACAATGTGGTAAAGCATATGATTACACCAGTAGCCTCCAAAGGCATGAGAAAACTCACATAAAAGAGAAACCCTATGAGTGTAAACAATGTGGTAAGTCCTTCTCCTGGTCCACTGCCCTCCAATATCATAAAAGAACTCACACTGGAGAGAAACCTTATGAATGTAAACAATGTGGTAAGACCTTTGCTTATTGCAGTGCCCTACGAGCTCATGAAAGAACTCACACTGGACAGAAACCCTATGAGTGTAAACAATGTGGTAAGACTTTTGCCTATCGTGGTGTCCTACAAGGCCATGAAAGAACTCACACTGGACAGAAACCCTATAAGTGTAAAGAATGTGGAAAGGCATTCAGTGCTTTTTGTACTCTACAAATACATGAAAGAATTCACACTGGACAGAAACCTTATGAATGTAAACAATGTGATAAGTCCTTTTCTCACTCAAGTGCCCTCCGAGGTCATGAAAGAACTCACACTGGACAGAAACCCTACAAATGTAAACAGTGTGGTAGAGCCTTTTCTTTTTCCAGAGCCTGCAGAGACCATGAAAGAATTCACACTGGTGAGAAACCCTATGAATGCAAACAATGTGGTAAGACTTTTGCTTATGGCAGTGCCCTGCGAGATCATGAAAGAACTCACACTGGACAGAAATCCTATTCATGTAAACAATGTGGTAAAGCCTATGGTGCTTTTAGGACACTGCGAGCTCATGAAAGAATTCATACTGGACAAAAACCCTATGAATGTAAATGTGGTAAGTCCTTTGCTTACTCCACTGTCCTCCGAGTGCATCAAAGAACTCACACTGGAGAGAAACCCTATGAATGTAAAGAATGTGGTAAGACCTATGCTTACGCTACTTCCTTCCAACGGCATCAAAGAACTCACATTGGAGAAACCTTATGAAAGTAAGCCATGTGGTACAAACCTTCATTTACGCCTGTGGTCTTCAGTGGAATATAAACACTGAGGTGGAGGCTTGTGAAGGTATACAATACAATACTATTAGTTCCATTTAGACTTAGATTCATGGACCAAATCAGTAGCGAGAATCCTTCTGTTATGAACAGTGTGCCAAGGCCTTTAGGTATTGAAGTGGCACTCAAGGACAAGAAAATACAAAGGAACTAGAAAGCTTTGTGGTAAATAATATAGGGAATGTAAGTATGTCTGTTTCCTGTTGTGTTAATGGGTCCATATGGAAAGAATCCCTGTGAATTGTGGATATGTTGAAAGTTCCATCACATCACACACCCTTTGAAGATTTAAAATGGACAGGATATAAACTTCACATTTCTTCAGATATCCTTTTTTATTTTGAAATCAAAACTGTCATCAACAGAAACTTCATTCCTTTTGATTTTTTATTTTTTCTACTACTGGAGAACTAGCTCAGGATCTTTATACTGAGCTCAATTCCAAACTCTCTACTTTTATTGAGATAATATCTTAGTTGCTAATTGGCCCAGGCTGGGTTTGAAGTTGGTAAGCTCTGGCTGTACTCTCACAAGGCTATGTATGCAGTTGTGCACCATCACAAATGGCTGTAATTTCTTTAAACTATGGGATGTCAATTAATTGACTTACATCCTTAGAATATGATGTGGGATTGCACACTGGATAAAATTGTAAGTATGTGAAAAATACATTGTATTTTAAGATTTTGGTGATGTGAAGATTGTAATTGGAGAGGATAATAAACATATTATGAAAAGCAAAGAGCTGGTCATTTCACATATAATACTTTACAAAATTACCACTAACACTAGTATTTAAAGGTTTTAAATATACTGTTTTTATATATGAATCATTCCACTCCTTTTTGTTTGACGGTTAAAATTGATAAAAAAAGTGAAAGGGTGTTTGGCACATGCCTGTAATTCTAGGAGCATGAGCAGCTGAAGTAGGAGGGTTGGAAGCACAAATGGTACTGTGGTAACTTAGTGAAAGCCTGTCTCAAAAAAAAAAAAAAAAAAAAAAAAAAAAGCCCTGGGAAGGTAGCTCAGAGCAGGTGCTGTATTCATTGCTCATTAAAAAAAGGTGAAAGGAATGTTACCACAGTTTTGTAAACAGAACATGGTGTGATAACATTGCCATCTATTTCCTGATCACATCCTCACATAATGAGTCACTGCAGACAGCCACACACTTCAGATGGCTCACAAACACCTTTAGGCAAGTGTGAGTTAGGACTTGTGCTCTTGTTTTCTGTTCACACTCATTTGTTGTGTGTCATATGGGCTCAATTTGAGCTAAAAAAATAAAGCCTCTTTGCTCCCTAGTGCAAGGTAGTGCTGCATGGCATCAGTAGAGGTATTTGTAGAATTTGTGTGATCTAGTGATCTAGTGGTGCCTACATTTTCATACACAGGTATACTGTGGTATACAGGCTTACACCTCTGAATTTTGGTCTTAGGTTGATTCAGGCAATAGGAAAAAATGTATCATTCATGATACTTCTAAAAATGTAGTGCTATTGTCCAAGAAGAGTGACTCTGGAATCCCAATATATAGAACAGGTATCTCCAGGCTTTCATGGTGTGGCCTCTGAAGAACCAGTCCAAACACAGGAAAGGATTGTTAAATGAGGGAGGGAAGATTTATCTGCACTTACAGCTGTTCTTCATAGCTTATTTTACCAATTGGCCTCCACCTCCAGTCACATCAGCAGCGTCACTGGATTTTCCTAGAATAGTGAAACCTCTGAATTGCTCATGTAAGACACAGGTTGCCAACTCCTTCTGAGAATCTAATGCTTGGTCCAAGTTGATCCTTTTAGCATGAGGGAGTGGCTACAAATGCAGATTAACATTACAGATTGATTTACACAGAGATCATAAGTCAGTTGCTTACAGACTGATCAAAATTATTAGTGGCAAGTGACAGCATCTGGTGGTAGGCTTTATATCAGAAACCCACACTTATTTTGGTTCACACTCATTTTATTTGCCACTTTGGTTCACATCTTTTTTCACACTGCACACTTTTCTGCCACACATTTGATAAGCCTATAAGCTAATCCCAGGCAAAAGAGTAAAAATCAAATATCACTGATAAGATTTGAAAAGGGAAATAAAGCCAGTGATGAGATACCAGAAACTACAAAAAGCTGACTTTAAAATCTAAGAGTTCATAAAGTATGGGTTAAGTACTGAAACAGATCTCCCTAGGAAAATGAAAATTTGAAGAACACTGAATTTGCATCTTACATCAGAAAGAATCACTGCCCTCTGCAAATCAACTATTACCAAGACTGGTGAGGCCATCAGCAAAAAAGGAACCATTCTGAATTGTTAGTATGAATGTAAATCAGTACAACCAATCTGAAAATCTCTGGAGATTCCTCAAAAAACTAAAGAAAGAAATTTCATTCAACCCAGCTATTTCCCTTCTAGATAACTTCCCCCAAAATTTCAAGACACCATATTATAGTGTTGAATACATAATCATGTTTATAGCAGCATACTGGCAAAACCATTGAAGTAGCCTATATATTGACCAATAGATAAATGGATAAAGAAAATGTCTTTGTATACAATAGAGTACTACTTTGATAAGCATAAATTTCAGTCATATTTTTGAAAATAGATGCATCTTGAGACCATAATGTTAAGTGAACTAAGTCACTAGTTTAAATATCTCATAACTTCTCTTATGTGAGAAACACAGGTATTAACAACTTTAGAAATATAATAGCAAACAGGGAGAAAGATCTTTTTTAAATGAGAAGGGGATAAAGTGATGGAGGGATGGGCAAGATAGAGGAAGGGGAATAAAAAGAATGAAGATATTAAGTACATTTTCCTCCCCACAAGATGGATGTAAAGTTTGTGTATTTCAAACATGTACTAATAAAAATTACTGGAAAAATTTAACTTTTGTGGTCATTTTGACTTTTGGGACAAGCTAAAAGCTGCATTGTGTCAGATCCAGTGAATTTTGAGGACATACATTATTTTTACAATCTTGCCTTTCTTTTACATTGCACTCAGTAGCAGTATTTCACTATATTTTTCACCATATTTTGTAAAGCCACAAAAAAGATTTCTTGAACCACCTGTGAAAGTGACAAGAATGAGATTACTGTGCTTGAAGCAAAGGGGTGAATTTTTAGGAGGATTAATGGCAATGTGTCTTAAAATGTAGTAATTGTTTTAATTTAAACATTCACTATCTAATTAAATCCCCCCATGTAGATGTGGTTGGAAGATGGTATGAGGGGAACCTAAGCTGCTGGCTATAGTCTGTTTCATGATTTGTATGCCAGTTATGTGAGTCACCTCACTTCTGAAAAGTTGATTTCACATTCACTTTTGTGTTTGTAATACTTCTAGTAATTTGTTTAAAGAGGTTTAAAGAAGTAAAACATTAGGGGGAAAGAGATAATTCTCTTTTTGTAATTTTATTGGGTTTCTCAGGTTCTTTGAAATCTAGGGATTCTGAAATATACAGTTTTTTCCCAATTGATATTCATTTCTTAAAAATGTTACCATTACTGTAGGCATAGTATAGATTCAGTAATATCGGGCTGGGGATTTAGCTCAGTGGCAAAGCGCCTGCCTGGCAAGCGCAAGGTCGTGAGTTCGGTTCCCGGTACCGGAGAAAAACCACACACAAAAAAAAGAAAAGATTCAGTAATATCTGTATTAAAATCACAGTGTTGCTCCTTATATAGTCATACTATTTTAAAAATTGCATATGCGTTCAGTGTTCTTACTAATGTAACTAAAACAACCAAGAATAGAATGTATGTTCTTTTTCTCATAGCAGAGACATATTATCCAGTACTCAGTTTAATGTGGAGGTTGAATATACTTGTGGTTTTAGTCCTTGAGCAGCTGGTTCCATGGTTGAGGTGTCAGGGAAGGGCATGATGGACAAAGTTGCAAAATTTATGGGAGCCAGGAAACAGCACAAGAGGAGTGTCAGAACGGAAAAGACAATATGCCAGGCATAGACACTGCAGCCATACCTCCATGACACACCTATCAAATCTAGAAATGTATTCCACCAATCCCCAGAACAAATTCCAAATCAAATCAAGATGAAACTATCCGGCCTGCCACAGAGTGGGTACCCTAGTACTTAGGCATCAACATGTTTCCAGAGCAGTCTTCTGATGTCTTCTACCTGTATTTTATCTTAAGCTGCCCTATCCTATGTACCTTCTTGCTGAGAAATGTCTGGGTATCAACAATGGAACTGGTCTTGGATGATTTGTCATTGTATGTTGGAAGTATTTTACATTCCTTTTGATTTTTACAGGAGCTCAGAAATAAGTTTCTTTTGAGTCTCAGTGGAGGATTGGACTTCGCCTTTTAAGCAATGTCGAAATAGTTATGAGTTCAATTCACAGACAAAATACATTTTGAATGAAGAGATGGACATAAGTCTTCTGGGGCCAGGGGCATAATATTATGTTTTGATTTACAGTGTCCCCAGATATCTCAAGTATTTGGATCATGGGGGTGCTAAATATGACTCTCTGGATTATTTGTTGATGATTTCAGTGTTGTGCTGTTAGGAGGTGGGAACTGGTTGAAATTGAGTCATGGAAGTCATGATCTAGAAAGATACATTTTTGTCTCAGCTTCTCCCTTTCTGTTTCATGGCTGCTATGGGTTTAGATTTCCTCCAACATTCTTTTTGAGCAAACTAGTCAACGGGGCAAGGTGATGCAGGCTAGACTCTTCTGACACAATGGATGGGGTCAATGGATCAGGCATTCCTCCTTGACTAAGTATCCACTGAGAATACTGAGTGGCCAGGGTAGGTTGATCTCAGAGTTTGTTCTGTGCCTTGTGGGGAGTCCTATCAAAGGATATGAAGGAACATGCGGGTACAGACTACCAAAATTGGAGAAGATAAATTACTTGAGAGAACAGGATTGTAGAGGCAGCAAAGAACAAAGACATAGATTAAACAGTAGGGAATAGCAAAACCAAATTGGAGGATTACTTTAGAATAAGAATCATCTACTAAATACTAATATTTAGAATAAGAATCATCTACTAAATACTACTCCATCTACTAAATACTAAAGAATGAAATTAAGAAGGAAATACTAAAGAATGAAAAATACCAAAAACAAACAAAGAGAAGCAAAGATTTGTATGGAAAAGAAAAACTTCTTATCCATACAAACTCTGATAAGTAAAGAGAGCAATGAGGAACTCTTGCATCCACCAGTTCAAACTAAAATTGCATACCTGTGCTCCATACTTTGTAAAATAACCCTTAGTGGTACTCACCAATACTGAACACATTCCAGCCAGGATCCTGGATTCTGTAAAATGGCTAAGGTCAAACTCAATTTACTGCACAGTATTTTTCCTGATTTTTAGAAATTGTTCTTATTAGTATAAAAATGATACCAAGTACCTGACTTGTAGGCCAATAGAAAAATGACAACCATTATCAAAGGTTCCATCTTGCTTTCTCACTGCTGGGACAAAATACTTGATATCCAAAAATTTAAGGAGGAAGCCAAGCATGGTAGCACGTGCCTGTAATCCCAACACTCGGGAGGCTGAGGCAGGAGGATTGTTGCAAGTTTGAGACCAGCCTGTGCTACAAAGTGAGCTCAAGGCCAGCCTGAACTGCATAGCAAGACCCTGTGTCAAAAAGACAACAGTAACAAAAAATGTTGAGGAGGAAATGTTTACTTTGGCTCACAGTTTGTAGTGGTTTCAGCCCATGGTCAACTGGCTCCAAGACAAGGCAGCATAACATATGAGAAACACTTTATTGGATGGCAGGCAAGAATCAGCAACCTTCCTTTTTCTTTGCTTTTTACTCCATCCCAGCTACAAGTCCATTGGTGCCACTCATGCAGGGTGGGTCTACCCTTTTCAGTAAATGCATCATCCACACCCACAACTAAAACAATCTGGACTAATCCATTATCACACACCCATGATCCAGTATCACACACCATGCCTAAATCACCTCCCAAAAGCTTCACCTATGAATTCAGATATAAGCGGTAACTGTTTTCAGTGGATCATTTCTAAAATTTTTAAAAGTTGAAACTACAAAACCACTACTATTTTGCATACCTAAAACTACCATCATAACCAGGTGTGGTGGTGCATGCCTGTAATCCCAGCACTTGGGAGGCTGAGGCAGGAGAATCACTGCAAGTTCAAGGACAGCCTGGGCTACAAAGTGAGCTCATTATGTTTAGACATTTGTGTGAGTGTTTTTTTTTTCTTTTTCTCTTCCTTCCCTCCATTACTCTTCACTAGTTTTAAACAAGTTCTGAGACTTGGGAAATATTTCTTTGTCCTGCTTTGCTTCTTACATCTTTTCCTCTCTCCTCTATTTTTCCTCTTCTTCCTTTTAATTTCCCCTTTTATTTCTCTCTACTTTGTACTGTCTACATACAGCAGTACTTCAGTTCACTAATTTAATTTGAAAAGATGGGCCGCATTTGTGTTTGCATGGGTAACAGCAGCGGTTATGTTTGTCACCCAATGCAGAAGTTTCATACAAAACAAAATTCTGCCAAACACTCCTGTTTGTGAGCCAGATTGTTTGCAAATAAAACTTTATGAACTGAGGTACCAGTGTAAATTGTTTTTTATTGTTAATTTTATTGTTACATTTTACATATACATAGTAATCACATTCATCAAAGAGAATTTGTACTTGTTAATAATATATCTTAATTTTCTCTCTGAGCCCTTCAACCCTATATATTCTAGGTATTAGTACTTTGTCTGTGGAACAGCTGCCAAAAATTTCATCCCACAGTGTGGGTTGTCTATTCACTCTGTTGGTGGTGTCTTTTGCTGTGAAATATCTCTTTAATAAGAGAAACCGCATTTGTTGATTCTTTGCATTATTTCCTGTGCAATCAGGTATTGTTCATAAAGACTTTATCTACTCCTAGATCTTCAAGAGTGCTACCAATTGTATCTTCCAATAGATTTATGGTTTCTGTTTTAGTATTAGATCTTTAATCCATTTCAATTTTTATTTACTGCATGGTGAGAGAAATGGGTCTAGTTTTTCTTTGGCATGTGGGAAGCCAGTTTTAATAGCATCGTTTACTAAAACCTATCTCTTCCAAATGAAGGTGTTTTGAGCCTTTGTCAATGAAAAGGTGCTTGAGTGTGTTTTGAGTTGTTTCTGTATCTTCTAATCTATCCCACTGATCCTCAGGTCTGTTTTATATTTTAGTTTTTGTCACTACCATGCTGTTTTTATCACAGTAGCTTTGTAGTATAAGTTCAGTTCAGGGATGGTGATGCCCCTTACCTTGGCTTTGCTGCTCAGAATTGCTTTTGCTATTCTAGGTCTCTTCTGGTTCCAAATAATTTGAAGATTGTTTTCTCTAATTCTGTGAGGTATGTTGTTTGTATTTTGATTGGGATATATCACTCTGTATAGCAATTTTGGAGGAATGATGATTTTCACTACACTGAAGAGCAAGCCACGACTTTTTGTATGTCAGTTATCAGCCTCCAACTCTTTACCTTGTTTCCCTTGGCATCTCTCTCCCAGTTGCTGTGTTGTTTTCAGATAGATAGGGGGCAGGGGCTGTTCTTAGTCCCATGTGCCTTGGCTCTTCCTCATCCTTACTCAGCCTTCTGTGTTCCTCTTCCACTGGTGAGCCTCTGTCCTCTCAGGTTATTTATTGCAGTGTGGGGTGTCTAGTCCTCTGCTCCTGCTGTTATAGTCCAAACCTGTTCAGTCCCAATTCTTACTCTTCTCCTGAGGTTGTGTGCTAACTTCCTATCCATTGCTTTACAAGCTCTGCTGCCACCATCACCCACCTCTGCTGTAGTCTGTAACTTCCTTGGGCAAGATGGGGGGTGTTGTGGTATGACTCTCCACTCCTCTCCCTGGTAGCCTGGAGCCAGCCA